TCCTCAAAAATTAAAGCTGTTTTGTTATTCTGGATTTCAGAGAGAAATTTTAACATAAAACATTACCTTCCATATAAATTATAATTTTTTTCACACGTAGGTGAAGGTAGCCTAGTAGTAAGGCGTTGGTTTCATCATTGAGAGGCCCGGATTTGATTCTCGTTCGCCGCGTAAAACATAGGTAAACGAAGGTAGTTACTGTTCTTTCGCTTCACAACCGCCATTAGAAATGATATTCAGGCGTTGTTCGGAAGAGACCTTAAAATCCGAGGTCCCGTGTTACTCTAGGCGTTGACACAATAAAACGCCCTTAATGTTTAATAGCCCTGAGTTCAAAATTGAACCCCTTCATCCAAGATATGATGACGTCTCTACATAATTAAAATTTTCTCTTATGGGGAGCAAAACAACAATCAATCAATCGATCAATCCTTCTGCACAACTTTTTTTTTCGAAATAAATTAAAGGAATTAAAATGATATCATAAAAACAAACATTGATAAAGCAAGCATCTTTTCGTGTGTGGTATATAAATTTTAATTCAAAATGTTAGGCTTCGCCTAAAAGCAATATTATTCAGGGGGAAAATGAATTCCCCCCACGTAATAATGTGTATTATTCTTCTCTTGTTTCTAATCTAATGTTTATGCTCATTGATTATACTTTCATGTTTCATCTCTCTCTCTCTCTCTCTCTCTCTCTCTCTCTCTCTCTTACCCGCGCAACAGCCTCTTGTACCACTACATTGAATCCTATGAGATGTTCACAGAATCTGTATTTTATAGTTACATGGTTAATTCGTCTTTACGTGTTTATCGGAGTAGTATTTGGATGGGGGTTTTTTTCATCTCTAAAATTTCGGAACTAAATTAGATTGATCTTTGGTAAAAAATAAAATTGCTTGTTTTAAATTACCTGTCGAAAGAAAAAATAAATTACTTCACAATGTTGTTTGTGACAAAGTGAATAGTTCTTTTATGATAGGGGAACCATTTCTTGTACTGCATGTACTAAATTTTATTCCATTCACAAAACGCAGCTATGTTAAGGCTGTCCGAAGGCTTGATAAGCATTAGATGTATACTATTTTATTTTGAGCTATGTTTTGATTTCAATTTGTAATCTATGCATACATACACAGTTAAGTTGTAAAGAGAGTTGAATAAGGTATTATAAAAAAGCATTTCTGTGATGTCACATGACTGTGCTGATCACGTGACGGACACTTATAAATTTTCTTAAAAAATTTGCACAAAAATCGCATCGGCACAAGTGAAAAACAAAATAATTGTGAACGGCTTGTTACATAAATCAATTAAACGTATTCTTGGACATATATAAAGTGCTGGGGGCAAGTCTGAATTTTATTTCTTAAGAAAATATTTCACGAGAAATTCAACTTACCCACATACAAGGGGTCATTTTCCACTCTTCATCGCAATTTATACAAAATGGGATAAATTACATACAACCCCCCAGCAAAATTCGTTTAGAGGACATATTTCTCTAGTAGATTCACATAGAATATCTTCAATTAATCCTTATTATTCACTTGTGCCAGTCTAATATATACACGATTTATAAATTCTCACTCCGTCTACAGACGCGTCAGGGGGAGCGTTTCACATTTTCTTTTTGTAATTGTTTGAATACGTATATGTTTGACAAGAAAAAGGAATAACAATATTATACTGCATATATTCACAATCATAACAGCCTTAAAACAACAATCCAGACACATGAATTAAACATCAACGTAAAAAAATTCTACATGTGATGTGAAAGGAATGTAAATATTATGACACTTTCCCCGTCATTCTGCTCAAATTTGCAGTGACTTGACGTCATATGACATTATGACGTCATATTTAGGTAGTTGAGAGATGTTACTGCGGCTGGTACACTGCGACATTCTTCGGACAGCCTTATCCTAGCCGCGAATTGGTATTTCAGAGTTCAATTTAGATTTCCTCTTTTACATCTATATCAGACAAAGTTTTGGGGATTATCATGATAAAACATTGACTAAGCTATTTAATTCACCTGGAGGGGGTATCTTTTTTTTTAAATCAGTGTTCACAGTACTTGTAGTTTAGTTCTCGGTTTGATTTATAAGTTTTCGTAATGACAAAAAGCTTCAGGCCATTTCGATCACTACTGATCATATTTTTGCTTCTTTTTGTGTGTGTGTGTTTGTGTGTGTGTGTGTTCGAAAACGTGGATTTAGGAAAATAATTAAGGGTAGACAAAACAAGTCCAGGTCATTGTCAAACATTGAATAGCTTTGCTATGCGATTCTTTTGTCTACCCAAAAGATAAAAGAACATGGGGTAGATTACATAAGAGTCGCTTGCAGTGCTCCGTAAAAAGAATAAACTTTGACGATATCGGTATTATTGAATTTAAAAGTCAACGATATTTGATACTTTCTTTTCAAACTTATACTTGAGATCAATTGAAAAAAAAACAATCGTATGTTTTATCTTTATTTGCAGTGACTAGTTAAACTTGCATGAAATGTCTCATTAGTTTGGTTTGGATGATCGAAATAATTTGACATTTTTGTCACACCATTTAAACATTACCTTTAAATTTTTATTCACGGTGGGAATATATACACATGCCAAAGGAAATAGTCTTTTGGACGTTTGATAGTTAATTTTGAGCATCTGTCAGAAATATCGTAAAATAGGTTTTAAGTAATAGCTTGCGAAAAAAAAAATCTATGATTTCTCTGGTTACCAGTGGTTAAAACCTAATTTTAAAAAAAAAATCCTTAAAGTTTACTGTTCTTTGACAAATTCACACATCCAAAACAGTAACGGAAGCAATCAGAACTCAAAATGCTGCTTGCATTTCCTGTAAAAATCCAAATGATCTTATATCTAGAGCTATTGTGGGAGGACCAAAGGCTCCCACAGAAAGACTGGGCCACATAATTGATATACAACTAAAATCTTTATGCTCAGAAGTTAAAAGTTTTGTTTGTGATGATCTAGACTTTCTGAGACATTTACCAGAGAAGGTTAATTATAATGCTAAGCTAATCACTATGGATGTTCCAAGTCTGTACACAAATATTACTATTGTCTTAAGGCATTTTATATTTTCATGTTGATTACCGGACACTGTGATATTTCTTTTGTTTTAGGATATATATATATATATATATATATATATATATATATATATATATAATATATATATATATATATATATATATATATATATATATATATATATATATATATATATACGTATTGTGTAACTCCTACTTTTTAGCAGTACAATGGGAAAACCCAAAAGCTTTTATATACAACTTGAATATCCTGTATACTATCCAGGGCAAATAGTAAATGGAAGTCTTGTTGTGGAATCAGCCAAAGAAATGATAGTTAAAGGTAAAAATCCTTTTGTACATATTTTTTTTTGAATTTTTTTCAAAAAAATGTAGAATTCCTTCTGTTTGTGTTAATTGATAAATCATAATTACGATAAATATTCATTCGTGCTAGGAATATATATATATTCTTATTTGTTCACAAGGTACATAAGGCACTTTTACTACAGTTGTGTTCTTGTCTCGTATTTATTATTTTTTTTTCAATAAACCAAGAATGATAGTGCCTAACACAGTTATCTTGTGCTAAGAAATTCAAAGCGATTTTTTTTTACATATAACATATTAAAAGTAGGATAGTACCTAAAATGACTAAAAAGTAATTTTTGAGTTTTATTCGTTATTTTTTGATGTCTTATTTTTTTAGATCCCGATCAATTAAAAAGACACGAATAAATGTGAAACAAGAGCATCTTTCTAAACAAATTATTTATGTTTATATAAGATTCGTTTTGATAAAAAAAAAATATTTTTGTTATAAAGAATTTTGTATCAAAAGGTGTTTGGGAATATAGGGAATCAAAGACACGAATTCCTGAATTTTGCTTTCAAAGCGATTGGCTGATTAATTGATGGATTATTTGAACCTCGATATTTTCAGTTGCATGGCATATTCCTATCCAGATTTCGCGTTCATGATTCAATTTCTGGGGCAAAATGCCTTGCGTATCCCATACTGGGTAAAGGAAATAAAAATAATTTACAATCTTCGTCTCCGTCATTTTATGTTAGCAGATTTTCTTAAGGTGTAACAAAAATACATGTTTTTTAATTATTTCTCTTTAAGACATACGAGTGACATTTAAAGGTTTTGCTGAAGTACAGTGGATTATACTCGGAGGAAATGGAGAGAGAAAATATTTTAAAGCCTCCGAACTTTATCTGGATCAAAATGTCCCATTATATGGAAAAGGTAATTCTTGAGAAACGGAAACATATCTTTGCAATTCAAAAGATTTTATACTTAACATTACTTGCAAATATTACTGATATAATTTACCAATAGTATAAAGTATGATTCTAAAATCATAAAATAATCAAGTTTCACTAAACAGCATGATTTTTCTATGCACATCATACAAGTATCATCATAACGAAAAAGCATTGTTACATATGTAATAGTAAAAAATCTTTTGCCGGACATTGGAAAATGTGAGTTCTTTAACTTTTGTCGTGAAAACATGTTTTCAAAACTGAAAAGGAGAAATAAATTCTCTATTGATAAAAAAATTGAATTGATGATCTGTATTTTTCAAAAATAATTTGTTTGATACGGGTTTTTCTTGACCCTGTGTTTTACTTTTAGGACCGGTTAATTGAGGGTCAAACCAAAATTACAATATAGACGCAAAATGTTTATTTTAAGCATAAAATGATTTAATTTCTCTCAAAAAAACTTTCATCAATAGATTTTATATTCCACATTTTGTTTCATTACAAACAGCATATATTTGCTATTGACATTCCCTGGCAATCCCTACATCAGGAATTTTGTGTTTGTCACGATTTCTTTTGCATTGAGTTGAGGCATATAGATTTTATAAAACAGTCCTAGATAAATCATTTTCTCTTTTTTTTTCTTATTGTAGGTGCAGGTATGGGAGATAAAAACTATTTTCCCCCTGGAAAATACGTATATCCATTTTCTTCTGCACTTCCAAAAAACATGCCATCAACATTTCAAGGATACCATGGCTTTGTTCGATATATTGTATCAGGCATAATTGAAAAGTCTAAGAAAAAGAAATATGAAACTGAACATCAGTTGACAATTCTTGCAGATTTAGATTTGAACAAAATTCCAAATGCAGCTGTAGGTTTATATCATTTTTGCAAAAATTTTAAATGATACAAATCAAAAACAGTTTTTTTATGGAAAGTAAAAGAAAAAAAACACAAGAAAACAGATAGCCAATACAAACCGTCTTACTATGTATATTAAAATGTTTTACTGTTTTCCATTAATTAGTTATTCGTTTCATGGACAGATTGACTACCTCTCAAATATAAAGATGAAATAGAGCATATATATTACAACATATATCTATTTCATAACTGGAAAGTAATAAGCAATCACTTGAAAATCGTACATATCAGTCTCAATCATAGAAATCTTGTTTTTAAAACATTAAAAACTAATTTAAGACAAAAGTTAGTTGTCAATTTTTATAAGATTTTAGATTGTATATATTAAGTTGTTTTCTGTTGGCCATGTAACTCTTCTGCATAAATTTATTTTACATCTTTAGTGTAGGACCCAGAAAGAGGAAGATAAATATATATGCTGTTTATGCTGTATGTCAGGGCCGATAACTTGCAAATTAACGACAGACAAACTTGGATATATCCCTGGAGAAACAATTTCTTTCCATGCGGAAATTCAAAATTTCAGTGGAAAAATATGCAAAAATCGTGTAAAATTTTATCAGGTTTGTGCAAGAATATCATAAATTTATTAATAAGTACCTACCCAGCAGGCACACAACGTTATTTAAACGTTGAATATTAGTTGAAAATGGGTTTAGACGTTGATAAATCTAGATTCAATATTGATTCAACGTTGACTTTTCAACGTTGAAGATGTAACGTTGATTCAACACTGAATTCAAATTGAGTTGAATTGCCAACATTGATTCAACGTCGGATCTTCGTTGAGCGGGAATTCTATTTTTCTCTGATAAATAATTCGGACTATAATAATGTCGGACTATAACATTGTCGGACCATAACGAGGTCGGACTTGACAAAGTCGCACTACTGTATATCATTAATAACTATTACAACTAACAAGAAAGGTAAATATATGAATTTTACAAATTCAGTGATTAATGTGAATTCAGTACGAATTTGCCAAAGTACGAATTAAGAGCATGCGCAATAGGACATCCGGAAAATATTCAAAAAGACCGGATAACAGTTACTGGTAAGTTTTGATTAATTTTAAGATTTTATATATACAGCTGTTTTAAGATTTTAAAAATATAACTCGATTTGTCATCTGTCTTAATTGCTCGTGATTATGGATGTTTTCGAATTCCAACTGACGCCAATTTCAGTTCAATATTTTTTATTTAAAGAATGCATGAAGACCACATTGAAGACTATTCCATTGTAAAGTTTAGTTAATTGATCTTCATAGTTTGAGAGTATTACATCTTGTGTATGTTAAGTGTTAGGATATTTAGCATAAATGGATCAAAGATTCTATAAAAAAAAAAGGGGGGGGGGGTGGCCACTTGAACATGTTGAAAGGGGAAGGGTAACTGGTGGGTTCGCCCCGATTACATGTTCGCTCTGAGTGGTTTCGCGGCGAGTGGTTTCGCCCCGATTATATCTGTTACCTGTACATGTACTTCCACGTGTGTATTTTGGCAGCTAGCTATGACAAATCTTCAATGTTTATGTTTGTGTTTTTTGCGTATGTGCTATGGAAAAGGTTTTTACAATCTCCCTTGCAGAGTTGTCGTTCGTTTCTCTCTCAGACACCTCTGCGATGGGCTCACGTCAAGATTTTTGACATAACGTAAAAAACATGACATTTAAAAGATTATTTCAAATTTAACTAATAGTTCTAGATATACTTAGTAAATATCTACCTTAAAAGAGGAACATTAGTGCAGGCATTTAATTATAATGAATTTAAACAAACGCACTATTTCTCGTGCTTATCACTGTGATATACGCGAGCCAACGACAGAGGTGAATGTATGAGCCAATGGTAGAGAGTGAGGTTTTTATTGTATAGATAGCAAAGCTATCTACACGGCAAACCTATTTGATTACGTTTTAATGAAGTAAATCTACATATATCAAACTTCGAAAAAAAGATGGAGATTGTTGGAATAAAATTGAAACACTTAAACGAAACATAAATTTTACATATTTTAACACAGATGAATTATGTTTTTTTTTTTCCCGTGTTCGTGATTTTTTAAAGAAAAGTTCTTATCTTATATCTGTCGTGAAAATCAGACTGGCAACTCATAACTGAATTTAATTAAAGTGCTCAATAATTATATTAATCTAAACACTCATTAATCAAACGACTTTTGCTTAAATAAACACCAAGCACACTGTAAGTTTCAAGAAAACCAATGGGGGCGAATCCATTCAGGGCGAACAGGGAAATGGTGCGAAACCACTCAGAGCGAACAGGTAATCGGGGCAAAACCACCAGCATTCAGGGGAAGTCTACCATTTCCATCGAAGGCTTTTGGGCAGTTTTCATGGCACACCGAGTCCCGTTTACATCCCATTCTCACATTTGTAACATCTTAAGGAACCCTGAATTTTATTTTCAGATTCTTATGGATCTGTCTTTGTATAGCTTTACTTGGGGGGGGGGGGGTGCAGTCAGGAATTCCCCGTCTGTTTTCCAGTATATCCCTTGCCCCCTTTTTTTTTGATGAGTAAATCATTATTTTAAAAGTAATTTCCTCTTTTAATGATTTTTTTTCATGTCTTGGATTTGAGTTTTACTTGTAAATAATTGTTTTATGAGATATTGAACTGCTGCACAAGTTTGGGTTGAGAAATTCAAGTGTAAATCTTTTGCTTTGATGGAACACATACTTTTACCAAATTTTTTCTTTACTTTCCTGTTACACTTTCAATATACTTCATTTTATTTTGTGTTTTGTGAACAGCAGGCATGGCTTATATAGAGATGGAAGAAATATCATGCAGAAATAGATTTAATCTCACGGCCAAACAATGATATAGATGTACCTTGTTAATGAAGTACATTCCAGCACCTCACGGCTTCCAGCAAATTAAGCAACTGATGAATGTTAGCACATGGAAATCAAATGGTATACAGTGCATTAACCATTCTCATTACACTTTAAAAATTTGCATTTTAAAGTTTTATTAATAAATATCATTTGCAATGCCAAGAAATTAACTAATTTTTGCATATATGTATTTATTTAATAATTCGTTTTTAATAATTAAATTTGTCTTTGGATTGATTATTCATAATTTGGAAAAAGCGCAAGATATTAATTGTTTATTAAAGCCTTCGTCAATTTTCACTGAAAGATAATTTTGGAATAAAAAGATTATGAGATTGAACACAATTTTAACATATTTCATTATACGAATATTTGTTATATTAAATTGTACATTGTAGGGGTAATCAACTAAAACGCTGCACCAATCTGTCCACTCAGAAGACCAACATAATCCAGGAGAAAACACTAATCAGGAGATCAACAGTACCCCAGGAGTCCAAGATCACCCACAAAGACCAACACCACCCTCAGGACTCCAACACCAGGACTCTAACACCAAGATTTAATGCCAACAGTGAAGAGACATAATTTGTCGCAATGCGCATCTGATGCATCAAAATGGTTACGTATAAGATTTACATCTTATCTTGGAATGTTTTCGTGTATTGGACTATTTCTTGACCACGCGTGAAGATAGAAGACATTTGTAAAATGTTTGGGTTTTGTACTGATTACATGTAATTTATAAAATGTATTTTTGTGAAATTTATTGCAACTGATCTATTGATAGGAAGTTAATTAAATGTTAACAATATAGGTTTATATATGTTTTCCTTTATATAATTATGAAGGCATCTTAGTTAATAAAAAAATAAAATTTTAAATAAGTTATCCCCCCCCCCCCCGAAAAAAACAACAACGTTGAATGAACTTTTATTCAATGTCTAATCAACATTGATTTTCAACATTGAATCAACGTTAAGATTTCAACGTTGAACTCAATTTTCAAAATCTTACATAAACTAAACGTTGAATCAACATATATAATCAACGTTGATTCAAAGTTTTTTTCAATGTTGTGTGCCTGCTGGGTAGTTAGCAAACCAAAGTCAACCCACTGTACTTGCTATAATTTCAAAGTGTCTTGTTGTATTTTGTACTTCTTCTGTTTACCGTGAAGGGATTTGCTTTTGTAAAATAAAAAAAAAATGAATTCAAGATTATTTTTCACAGATATCTACTTATCGTTCCAAGAAAGCATTTATAACGTCAGAAGAAATAATTGAAACAGTGAAGCACCGAAGAGTAAATTCTGGATATTCCGAATCCTGGATGGGAGGATTTTTCATTGCTCCAACTTCGCCTACATCAAATCTTGAAGGATGTTCAATAATGGACATTGACTACTATGTAGAAGTAATACTTTCTTTCCTTGAGGATAAAACTTGTAAAAAGAGCAAAAAAAATTCATATATTTGCTTAGTATACGTAAGGGACATTACATATTTCATTTACAGCTGATTGTTGTTCCAATTAACTCGCCGGGGAAAAATATCCATGTTCCAATCAAAATAATCATCGGGACAACGCCCTTAAGGTCAGATAATCAGAGAGGTCAATTTGTGTCTGGTTTGTCAGCGTTTCAATTAGAAGTTCCCGGTGATCCTAGACAACAATCAGTACACCCAACGGCAAGAACGTCGGATACCTCAAACATAGGTACAATAATAGACTTAGATTTATGAGAAGTATATAATTGCAGTGACTTAATATTTTTATGCCCCCGTAATCGAAGATTCGGGGGCATATAGTTTTTGTCCTATCCATCTGTCTGTCTGTTTGTCCGCAAAAACTTTAACCTTGCCCATAACTTTTGATTGGTTGAAGGTATGGCTTTCATATTTCACATGTGTATTCCTTGTGACAAGACCTTTCTTTGGGTACCATCATATTTGACCTTATGACCTTGACCTTGGAGTTTAACCCACTTTTGCAAAATTTTATAAGATTTTATTCTTGGCCATAACTTTTGAACAGTTGGTACTTGGGCTTTTAAACTTCACATGTGTATTTCTTGTGACAAGACCTTCCTTTGGATACCAACCACTTTGATCTTTTGACCTTGACCTAGGAGTTTGACCTACTTTTGAAGAACTTTAACCTTGGCCATAACTTTTGAATGGTTGATGCTAGGGCTTTCATACTTCACATATATAATTCTTGTGACAAGACCTTCCTTAGGATACCAACAACTTTGACCTTTTGACCTTGGAGTTTAATCTACTTAAATATTGAAATACTTTAACCTTGGCCATAACTTTTAAACAGTTAGTGTTAGGATTTTTATACTTCACATGTGTATTTCTTGTGACAAGACCTTTCACTGGACACCAACAACTTTGACCCTTTGACCTTGACCTTGGAGTTAGACCTACTGTTGAAAAAACTTTAACCTTGGCCATAACATGTAAACAGTTGGTGTTAGGGCTTTCATACTTTATATATGTATTCCTTATGACAAGACCTTACTTTAGATACCAGCATCTTTGACCCTTTGACCTTGACCTTGGATTTTGACCTACTTTTGAAAAAAAATTAATCTTGGCCATAATTTTTGAACAGTTGGTTCTAGGGTTTTCACATTTCAGGATCATGTGTATCACTTGTGACAAAATGGAGTTTCACTTGCATCTGAGAAACTTTAACCTTCGTCATAAGCTGCCATACGGGGAAAACAAAAATGCAGGGAAAGCATATTTTGGGAAATTTTTCCAATACAGGATGTTTTCCATAACTGCGAGTTTTCCTTTTCGTTTGGATCGAAAAACGTATAAATTATGTGTGGAATAAGTTCTTAAGAGTAATTGAGAAAATTTAACATTTTACATTCATAAGGAAATATTGGTCCAAAATTCAGAATAGAAAAAAAAATGGCATTTACTATTTGTACGTGCTTTTGATAAATTTAATCAGATTTACTTTTAGAATCGTGCTGTATTTTACGCACTATTATATAGGGTTAATACAGAACGGAAAATAGCTCCGCCCACTGTAGTCCCCTTCTGTATTGCTAATACAGAACAGCAAACTTTAAAGAAAAACACTGCTATCGTGTCACAATTCAAAGTAAGGAATGATAAGAATATTATAATATCAAGACATGGAAGCGGATAAGTTTGAGTCTTAATATAATAGAAAACTTATATCATTGTTGCGGTGTTTTTCTTTTGAAGACCACTGAGTTTTTATTTTTTATATAACATGACAAACTGTGCTCTAACAGCCATGCTCTATTAAGACAGAGTACGCCTGGGCGATGATGCAGAATTCTTCAGACCCTTAGCCTTACATTGAGTAAGAAAAAAAATATAAACAAAGGATCCAATCAATAAACAAAATACAAAGTCATATAAACAAAGTGAAGGTATACCTTTCCTAACATAAAAAAAAATAATCATCACATAAATTTTTACATCCGCAAGGGAATTAACAAAGCGCATCTTTAAATGAATGTTTTCGTCTCTCATAAACTTGAAGCGGAACAAACCACACACAATGTGGTACAGGGAATAAGATGGATATTCCGACTCGTCTTTTTTTCAATTCCCACAGAAATCGCTGCATCCAGTAATTTAGAGAATCGCTGTTCATCTTGGTCAAAAGTGGAGATTTTCCCGAGCGGTAATCTTTGAATGTTTAAATTGCCCATTTGATATTTTTACGAGTGTAAGGGTTAAAGTGCCTCAAGGAATTTCCCATCATAATTTCGGTTTGCACTGTCTATAAGAATTAGGATAACATAAAATAACTAGATGCTGTCATGAGACAGTAATACCCGCACTAAGGTGTTTGCCTCTAAATGCACACTCCTTCATATTGGGCTTACCAAGGAAAAAGTCCAAATAATTCTACAATTTACACAGTACATGTATTCGTCAAATCGAGCATAAAATGCTCAGGTGACCATGTGACCCATGAACCTCTTATACGCATTTCATATACTTAATTCATTACCAGTCTGAAATATCAGAATTTAATTAATGTTGTAAATTAGGTTTTAATAAAAAGGGGGGGGGGATATAAATTTTTGGACCATAATTGGAACTTTTTAAATTAAATTTATCTTCTCAACAACAAATAATATTATTTTAGTACAAAGCGTTTTTGATGAATTTATCAAAATGTGCAAACTTTTTTTAGTATTTGATTAGGCAAAAACCTCCTTGAAAAGCCATACCCAATCAATTTATATGTGCCCCCCCCCCCCCCCCAAATACACACACACACAATATGCCTGTTTTTGGAAATAGGCCTAGATGGCAAAGTTATGTTAAAACATCGTTTGTTATGATAATTTAAAATTTGTTCTTGTACTGTACATGTATGTGAACACCTTTTTGAAAATTTCTACATCACATTGGGCTTGCGTCACCCTACCAGTACTAGTACTAGTTTTACCATTATCATTTTTAGATTGCACATGCCATGTGACATGGTGCAGTGTTACATGTATATCAGTGGAAATTAATTCATTTTGTGTTTTAATTGGATTATATTTCATGAAGTTGACAGGACCTATGACAGTCGGTAAGTACAAGTTTAAGTATAGATTGGGGTAAAATAAACCAAAATGCAAATGGTTAGGTTAAAGTTTAAAAAGGATCAAAGATCATCGGCAATCTCCTATGCAGAGTTGTCGTTCGTTTCTCTCTCAGACACTGAATGTATGAGCCGATCGTAGAGAGTGGATCATCGATGCCACAATAGACGAATTTCACATTCTGAAGAGTTATCTCCCGTTGTCGACATTACATTCAGTTACAGGCATAGATCCGGGAATTTTTTTCCGGAGGGGGGGGGGGGTCCACACCTCGGTCCAAAAAAATTCCAGCCCAGAATTTCCTGAGGAGCAAAATAAAAAAAAAACAAACAAACAAACAAAATAAAAACAATGATGGTGGGGTCCATGTTTTTAAAGGGGGAGGGCATCCAAAGTCATTTTTTATTTGCTTCTGTAAATCAGTATATAGTCCTATTTAAATAACTCTGCAAATTCCAGGGGGGGGGGGGGGGTTCCAATCTCCCTAGCCGCTCCCTGTCCCTGAAATGACAAATGATCATGCGACTCCTAAATAGTAGAAAATTTTTCCATTTGACTAGACATAATTTTGTTTCTTGTGTTATTATGTTATGTACATCTAATGGTTTAAGGTTATGAACCCTTGAGGTCATCCCCACTCTCTTGTTCATAATATGACTACATCAAATTAAATAGAAGTGCATCAATGATAAGATTACTTGACATTTCATTCATGAATTTGGGTCAACCTAGAATTAGGAATGAAAATCATTCAAAGAGATGGACCATTAAACTATTTGTATGTATTCACATTTTTTTTATGTCAAACCAAAGTATTAGACTATTTTGCATACATGAACAAACTGGGGTCTGGGAAGGGGAAGGGGCAAGGGGAAGGAGTTATCTCTTTACGTCTTAATTAATTGTTGAAAATTCCTAAAATGAATGTTAACCTTAAATCCGACTTGTACGTCTTCATTATTTTTAAGTGGTGGTGTCTCCGTATGAGTGAAAAATTCCCAAGAGGGACATTTAACAACAAACAAACATTAATGACTTAAAAAACACAATATACATGTACATGTTTATTAGTCAATGGATATACTTCTGATCATATCTCTAGTTCTCCCTTGAATCAGAAATGATGATATAAATATTTTAAGAATGATTAAGAGTTGAAAAGGTTGTGAATTTTAAAATTCACTAAGCTCTGTGGTTGAAGTAGCTATACCAGTTTAGCTTATTTTGCTACTCAAAGCACCTTGATTAACTATTTTTAATCATACTGTTTTCTGAAATGTGAAGTTTTTTCAACATGGATACAAGTCATACCTTTTCAGCTTCTGAAAACAATTAATGCATGAAAAAAAAACTGCTTTTCAAATACTGTAACTCTTTCCAAGTACTTGTGATCATCAGTTTTTAGCTCACTTGAGTTTTTCTGGTTTTCTGATCACATTTTGTTTGTCATTCATCTGTCCGCCTGTAACTTTTCACATTTTTGTCTTCTTCACTAGAACCGCCGGGCCAATTTCAACCAACCCAGCCACAAAGCATCTTTGGGTAAAGGGGATTCAAGTTTGTTCAAGTGAAGGGTCACACCCTCTTTCAAGGGGGGATAATCAAGAATTAGTGAAAATTTGG